TCCAGAATCTCGTATGAAGCGTTGACAAAAAAAAAAAAAAAAAAAAAAAGAGTTACTTAGAGGCGCGCCAACGGGGCTACGGCCGCGCAAGTGGCAACTTTTCTTGCCCCAAGAGGGTTACACGCGAAGAGCGAAGCGCGCCACGCAATGTAGCCTCGAACATTAGTGCTCCAACAGGTTCACATCAAATTGGCAAACTTTTTTACGCGTTCCCGATTGTCACCCAAAATGTTTGTTCAGGTGCGCGATTTGCGTGTCGCGGTTGACCTTCCTGCGGGCCCATTTTTTCCTCCGACACGGGGGAAGGCCAACCCCTTGTGCACTTGTCACGCATGAGGGGGCTGCCCACATTGGGACGTGAATTTTTCATCATCCGACACGTCCACGATCCTTTCCTGAATGTCGTCACAGTCATACTCAATGGCCTCAGCGTACGTGTCAAACAAAGAGTACTCGGAGTAAATGGAGCTAAAACGAAACCCATTAGCTCCATCAATAATTTTTAGCAACTTAAGCACACTATATTTGTCCTGTATATCTAACAGGGCAAAGTTGATCATGTTATAATCCTCTACCGTTTCGCATATGTATTCATTTAGCTTCAGATATTTGTTGGATAATCTCCTAAAGTTTTTCCTCACATTTTTTATGTTACCAATATTTATTTCATTTTGTATGACCTGTTTGATTGCGCTCTGGGTGGAGTGGCTTGGGTTATTTAGGGGTGTACGTGGTGCGTCCCCCATATCGGCGTCTGCGTCCGCGTCGGAGTCGCAGTTCGAGTCGGAAGAGGATTCATTCTGGTAACGCGCGTATAGCATTAGCTGCTGCAAATTTTGCGCTTCGACGTAGTAACTCAGAGGAAAATTTAAATCGTCCCTAAAATATTTTAACAAGTCAATTTTGGAGAATACATTCACATGGGGTAACTCCAAGTGTATCTGGCTGCACAAGGACAACAGTAGTGCACTAACATATTTATAATTGTCGGAGCATAAAGTGCTATCAACGATGTGCACAGAAGTTAGTCTACAATTGATCTTGGTCATTTTATGAACAATATTTCGCAAGGCATCATTATGTGTATACAGTTCCACTTGCCCTGGGGTGTCAATCAGTAGGTAATGATCTTTGTGTTCATTTAATTTTTCTTCAAGCCAGTCAAAGTTCATTAATAGGTATTCCATGCAATATATTAGAGTGCCATTGGGTCCTAAGCCCAGGTCACTGAAAACTTTTTTTATATCTACAAGCTCACTAATGTTTACGTCTGCTTTGTATACGTCATTCTCCACAAACGGATCCAGGTTGATGATCATGAGCTTTCTGTTTATCTGCTTCAGTATGTGTTCCACCCCTGCCACGTATGTGGACTTCCCGGACCCCGGAGGCCCGATGATCAGCTGCCCGAACCACATCCCGGAGTTAAAAAATGGGACGGCAGAGCAGCGGCGCGGTTACCAAACTAGCAGAAAAAACAAAAAAAAAAAAAACCTCCTTCAGCTTCCACTTAGGACAAGTCGCCCCGCTTCTTTCACATACATCTACGTGTAGGATCCCTTAGAACATCATTTCTTACAATACACACTGCTGCAGCGCCAGGCGCACATGGGGGAAATGAACTGAAGTGTACACGGAGCAGCAACCCCTTTATTTTAATTGCCTATCCAATTTGACTTCGAAATGTTGCACCCCTCCTCTGTTGTCTGTCTTCCCTTCTACTTACACTATGTCACTACACATGGAGAGCAAAAAGAAAAAAAAAAAACGAATGAGACAATGCGTGCACAAAAGACGATGCTGCTACTCTCCCGTTTGTTCTATTTATGTAATTCCTCCCTGCACCTATATAACGTTCCTAATCATTATATGTAAAAAAAGGCGTATGTGATTCATTCACGCTTCCACTAATGCAACGTGACACCTACGCCTTGATTGTATTTTAGAAATGCATGCCGGTGGCGACATAAAAACTGCACATAGTGTAGGGTATGAAATATATGCCAAGTGGGGCAGGATGTGTCACCTCTCTGTTGCTTCTGCCTTCCTGTGGCCAGCAACAGAGGAATGACATATGTTTAACGGGGGAGAAGCAAAAGTGGAAGATATACAAAATGATCGCACGGCGAAAAAAAGGAAGCAACGTAATAGGGGATGCTTTCCCCAAGAAGAGGGTTACAAAATTTTTTCGTTCTTACTTGATGGACTAGCGACGGGTGATGAGGGGTTGACGCGCTTACCACTCAAATGTCAGGACAGTAAGATCATATCACATGCGAAATGTAGCTGTCGTGATATTTTTCTACCCAAAAGCGGTGACAAATTATGCGTCCTTCCGAGATTCCCAAAATGGAATCATCAATTAGATGCAATGATAAAAAAAAAAAAAAAAAAAAAAAAATTAACCTGAAACACGACATTGCGTGAGGCGGCACGACATGCAAGCGGGAAAATTAGCCTCTTTTTTTTTTTTTTTTTAACAATTTTTTTATATGTATCCTGCGCAGATGAATGGTTTGACTTACAGGGCCCCTCTTATAGTCACCGCACGGGAGTAACTCCGCTCACATTGAGACTCGTACCAAATTTAGAAGCAAACTTTGGAATAACTTTTCGAAACCCCTTCACCCAAAAATGGGCAGCATATTTGGCAGCAAAATGGGTAGCAAATTTGGAGGCATAATTGGCGACAATTTTGGCAGCAATTTTAGGATCTAATTTGGGATCCTACTTTTGATTCGCACTTGCCCAATTAGCCCCACATGCTCAATAACCCCCTTGTGTGAATAGCGAGCGGGTAATTTATTTTAATTGGCCATGGTGAAGGATCCGCATTAGAGTCGCATTATAGGCATCTTTAGAGGAACCCTTTTTTTTTTTTTTGCGTAGCTTCATTTCTGAGGGAGACAGAGGGGCAGACCATTTGTATATGATCTCCCCTAATTCCAGCTCGTAGCAGAAAAGAAGACTACGAGTGGAAAAATCTCCAAGGCATTATCAAACATGGTATGTAAGGGGAGCCCATGTCAGATGTAATGATCACAAAAGCGGACATTCATTTGAAAGAACCCCTCCCCTAAGGGTCTATTCAACTGCCTATCTGTTTGTCGCATCCTTATACCACCCAACCCTGCTTCGTATTAGGGGTGGGCAGTTACACGCTTACATATTGAAGCCTACCTACGTATGCATAAAAAAGGTGCATAATTTTTTTTTTTTTTTTGCGCTTCTACATAAAAGCGTAGTGCAACGTAGCCGCTGGTAGCAAAAAATGAACCCAGTGGTAGACGGCTTATCCGACAAGGACGCGGAGGCCGCGAAGGAGAAGGGAGAACCCGCACTCCCAAGTGAAAACGCCAAAAGGAAAAACGCACACACGTCAAGTGACGCTTATAGCAGTAAAAAAAAGGCAAAGGTGGATGATGCGTTAAAAGGAGATCCCTTTGAGGAAGGTGAAGAGGATGGACAAACGGTGCGGGGGCAAAATAAGGCAGACGTGAGCGCAGAAGACGTAGAGGAGGATCCCGGTTGTGCAGACAAGGATGGTACGAATGGAAGGAATGACCCCAAAGAGGGTAAACAAACTGGTCATGAGAATAGTAACGATGAAGGGGAGGAGGACGAAACGCATAATGAATATAACAGTGATGGGGAAGGTGTCCCCAATGAACAAGACCCCAAATCGGAAACGCTGCTTCGAAGCGAAATCCCCATGGGGGAGGCATCCTACGAAAGGGAGGCAGGCGCTACAGCAACAGAAGCGGACCCCCAACTGATAAACAAACTGACCAACGAACCATATAGCGAAAGGTACCTCCAACTTTTGGAGGAAAAGAAAAAACTCCCAGCATGGAGTGCGAAAAAGAATTTTCTAAAGCTCTTCAAAAAAAACAATGTGCTGATTATCGTAGGAGATACAGGAAGTGGAAAGACCACACAGATATCCCAATTCGTGTTGGAGTCAAAATTCGCTGAAAAGAAATCCATCGCTGTGACGCAACCAAGGAGAGTAGCTGCCATGAGTGTAGCAGCAAGAGTTTCAGAAGAGTTAGATGTAGAGCTAGGGACGTATGTAGGGTACACCATTCGGTTCGAAGATCGATCTAGTACAAAAACGGTCATAAAATATTTGACAGACGGTATGCTGTTGAGAGAATCAATGTATGACCCTCTGTTAAAAAGATACAATGCAATTATTTTGGATGAAGCTCATGAAAGGACCTTAGCCACAGATATCCTCTTCGGAGTTATAAAAAATATACAAGAGCAGAGGGATGATTTAAAATTAATCGTTATGTCTGCAACATTAGATGCAGGAAAATTCCAAAAGTTTTTTAATGGCTCTCAAATATTAAATATCCCAGGGAGGCTTTACCCTGTGGAGATTTTTTATACCTTACAAGCGGAGAAGGATTACATAAGGGTGGTCATCAGGACTGTGTACGACATTCATGTGAATGAGGAGGAGGGGGATATTCTTGTCTTCCTGACCGGAGAGGAAGAAATAGAAATGACCAAAAAAGAAATTGAAAAATTAGTTTCAAAAAATGACAAAGCTGGTCAGTTGGTAGTGTTACCTCTTTATTCTTCATTGCCATCGACTCAGCAACAGAAAATATTCGAGCCAGCACCCATGCCAAGATTTAAAGGAGACAAAATGGGGAGAAAGTGTATCCTGTCCACTAACATTGCTGAAACTTCCCTCACCATAGAAGGAATCGTTTATGTTATCGACCCTGGGTTTTCAAAACAAAAGGTTTATAATCCAAGGGCAAGAGTGGAATCTTTATTAATTGCTCCCATTTCGAAAGCCTCTGCTCAGCAAAGAGCTGGAAGAGCAGGCAGAACAAAACCGGGCAAGTGTTTTCGCCTGTACACAGAAAAGTGTTTCGAGCAAACATTACCCGAACAGACATACCCAGAAATTTTAAGATCCAATTTGGGTTCAGTTGTTTTAAATTTAAAAAAGTTAGGAATTGATGATTTAGTGCATTTTGACTTTATGGACCCACCGGCACCAGAAACTCTGATGAGAGCCCTCGAACAGCTTAATTACTTGGGGGCATTAGATGACGAGGGAGAATTGACACAGAAGGGACATTTCATGTCTGAATTTCCTGTAGATCCTCAATTAGCCAAAGTGTTAATTGAGTCCCCAAATTATTCTTGCTCCAGCGAAATACTAACCATTGCAGCCATGCTTTCTGTGCCCTATTGTTTTTTAAGACCAAAGGTAAAAGGGAAGGAAGCGGATGAAATGAAAACAAGATTCTCACACCTAGATGGAGACCACCTAACTCTTATGAATGTATTTCATGCCTTTGTCAATTATAACCGAATGGATATGAATGCCTCTAAAAAATTTTGTTATGATTATTTTTTAAATCATCGAGCTATGACATCTGCCCAGAATGTTAGAAACCAACTCATTAGAACAATGGAAAAAATGGAATTAAAAATTGTCTCCATGAACCCATCTAACCCTGATTACTATGTCAACATAAGGAAGGCTTTGCTCAGTGGGTTCTACCAACAAGTGGCTTACAAAACTAGCAAAGGGTACTACATCACCGTGAAGGATATTCAAATTGTTACTCTACACCCTTCGACTGTCTTTCAAATAAACCCTGAATGGGTTATGTATCATGAACTTATATTAACCACAAAAAATTTTATAAGGACGGTGACCAAAATTGATGGGAAGTGGCTCCTTGAGATTGCTAGAAGCTATTATGACCTGGACGATCTACCAAACAGCGAAGCAAAGAATGAATTACGAATGATTCTTAGGAAGTCCTAACTGGGGAGCAGTGTAACTGCCCCCTCATGTTGACCGTTTTTATCAATTGGGTTGTGGGCATATCCCCCCTTCCACTCATAACACAATTTGTTACACACACCAACAGCCACTTTTTTGAATAAACAAAAACTTACGTTTAGTGTTCTTGAGAACAAATATTAAAGCGTTCCGCTCGCGGTACTGCAGCGTAGCAGCGTGGCGAACGTAGTAAGGTTATTTAAATGCATAGCTGTGCCGTGAGGTACAAAAAAAAAAAAAAAAAAAAAAAAAAAACTTGTGACTTTTTCCACGCGGGAACTGCTAACAGAATTGGGGCTGTGAAGCACAATTCTATGGGCTCCCCCCCGCTACACCGTCTGCGCCCATATCTTCGCGGCAGCAATGCACTCATTCAAATACTTTGTCATCTCGTCCTTGTTCTCGTTGGACAGGATCACATTCAGTTGGGCCTGATTAACAAAGGAGGCATTCTTAAATGACGACAGCAGCTTTTTAATAATATTTTTGTTACTAAACTTATGGAGCGTTATGTTGATGGAGTTCCAATTGATCATGGTGTTTCCTCTCTCCGCTATTAGCTGAATGCCGATGTAGTACTTGGTAGAGGCGGCGATTTCTAACGGTTGTACAAAGTCAACTCTGGCTTCAATCGATTGGTTCAAATTTTTTATGTTGACGTTTTGTTCCATTTTGTGTGAAAGGAACGAATCCTCTGGGATTAAATTGAGTGGCTCGGCTCCGTAAATGGGTCTGTGCACGTAAAGGATCACCTTCTTTACCACCCCTAGTTGCACAGGGCACTTGATGTCAATAAGGATGGTACCAATCTTTTGGTCGACGCACTTGAGGTCGAATTTGGGATAGTAGGCCTGCGTGGGGTAATACTGCGGTAGGCGTGCGGTTCCTTGCTCGGCACCTCCCCCAAGGCCGCTTCCACCCCCACCGCCGCTACCACCCCCAACTGCGTTAGTATCGCTTCCCGCCTCAATTCCGATGAGCGCCAAGTAGGGTGCGGGTGGGCCGGGCTCCAAATTCTTGAGGACCTTCGTTTTGAACTCCTGCTGGCAGCCCAATATAGCGAGGGACGCCTCCTTAAAAGCAGATTCTGCCTTTTTCTTCCACTCCTTGTCGGGTTCCTTGTCTGGGTGCAAAATATGTTTCAGTCTCTTTCCGAAGCTTTTTAGTTGTTCCTCCGTAGTCGTCCTGGGGTTAATACCTATTATGTAGAAGGAGTGTTTCTTGGGGGAATTTTTATCAAACCATGTGTACTCATTATATCTGTCAATTATAAACTGAACAGCTTTTCTTTTGTCTTCTAATTTTTTAGAGAGTTCCATTTCTTGTTGAAGTTTCCTTTGCATTTCTGCATCGTAATTGGTTTTGAGTCTTTCCAGCTTCTCTTTCGCAATCAATAGATCTTTATTTTCTGTCATTTTATTTCCAAGGAGTAGAATCACATCTGCATAAGTGGATTCTACCAATTTGCTGTCTGCATCTACATCTAAATTCAGAATCGAATTTAAGCTGTCATACTCGGACTTATTAACAATCTGTTTATACCACAAATTTTGTTTATAAACAATAGCAACGATAGACGGTCCAATGGTTTTCAATTTTGCTATCATCTCGTCTATATGATCACGTACTTTTATATTATTATTTCCATCACTAACATTTGAATCGTCTAATAATTCATCTACATGGAAAATATTCTTCCCCACATTTAATATGTTTTTCAATTTATCCATTCTATTTTTTACATGTTCCACTTCGAGAATATTTTTCATTTTAAGAATATTTTTCGTGATGAACAAATAATCCTGTGCATTGCTTTCACTGAAGTTTGGGTCTATATTGTTAATGTCCTTTAGTAATTCCTCAATGTAAGTCTTCGATATGATACTCATAAATGAGTTATTGTCACTGTTATTAATTATATATGACTTGTCAAATTCACCTTTCCTCTTTTTCGTACCCGCCCCTCCTATTTCTTTGTTCATATAATTTGGCTTCACATCATTTCCTTGTGTGTCAAACAAACTAGGGTTGTTCAGGAAAAGCTCGTCAATGAAGCTTACAAGAGATTTTAAAAACATGTCGAAGCTCTCCTTACTGAGCAATAGGTTTGCCTTTTTAATAATGGAGTAAATGAACCCAAAAGACTTGTAAATATAAAATAAATCTTCCACTGTTTTTTTGTACATGAGTTCTTCATCCGTCAAATCGTCTATGAAATGTTCATAGTACACCTTTTTCAGCTCCCCCTCACTTATTGGGGACGGCACCGCTTCTTCGTTATTCACCGCCATTTGGATGTGAACTCTATGTTGGCGCTATCTCATCCGTGGGTACGTATTCTTCACATACGCAGATACATGCATACACACACACACACGCATACACAATACACACACTGGCCGATCTTTACTCCTCCTCTCAGGCGTAATGGGTAAAATGTGTCATCCAAACAGTTTTCCCTTTACACAGGAAGAGGTTTCAATTTAGAGGCTTGTAACCAATTTACCGCTTAAAGGTGCGGCCAAAAGAATAAGGCATCCATGAAGTATGCGCCAAAACGGAAGGACATAACTTTTGAGAGCTCCTCCTTTTTTGTGGTTAATAAGAATTGTCAAGAGTGCCTTTGTTCCCGCTGAAAGTGGACTTTCCCTTCGGATGACCCCGCGCGCGTGCACAAAATGGGGTTCAAAAAAAAAAAAAAAAAAAAAAGAACGCGCAAAATTCCTCTAACGCCCCTTCATTGTTGCGCGTTTGAAGCGTTAACGAAAATTCCCATTTTCTCCCCCCTAAAAAACCCACCTTACACACAAGTGTGCATACGTGCTATTCCCCTCTTTGCACAATTTGACGAAATGCTTCGACGCAATCATGACACAGAAGATCGCTCAAGCAACACGCGAAACGAAGAGACGCAAATGGGATGATTACGAGCCTCGCATACCACTTCACACAAAACTGTTAAGCGGCTGAACCGGCGTTCCTTCCTTCGCAGCGCTGGGCACAGTTTTTCATTTGGGAATATTAAATGCAGCCCACACTTCGTCTCAGGGCAGAAGTAGGCAAAACACATCGATGCAGTCTTTTCACTATTTGCAGGGGGATCACTACCATGTACACTAAAGGAAAAAAACCGCTTCCTAAAATAGCCACACATTACCCCCCTCGGGCACCCTGTTAACATATTCTAAAAAATGTTTTCCACACTATTGTTACTCTCATGGGGGATGTTGAATTGGAGGGAATTTCTCCTGCACAATTCTACGTTTTGGTGTAGCGCTAAAAGGATTACGTAGGGAAAGGGCGTTCTGCAAAATATTACCCATCGTGTGAAGGATAATCAGAACACCCATCTCGCCCGTTAAGACATCTCAAATGTGGATGGGATTCTCTGTATGAATTGCCTTCCAAATGAAAGCCACTTCCCCTTTTTCATTGTTCCCTTTCCGGGGAAAAAGGCAGGGGTAAATGTTAGGTAGTCCGATGCTGGACTCTATCCCACTGCGAGTGCCCCCTACATGAACTTGCTCCCCTGACATACGCATCTAACATTTTAGTAAATTTGGAGCTGGGCATGTGGTCTAGGAAATCATTCACTAGAGCATTTTCACCATTTCGAAGGTCATTCAATAAGGACAACTCTTCTTTGTACTCCTTCAATATGGCGTACTGACCATTCGGGTTTGTGGTTAGCTCCTCCTTCTTGCTCAATATAACCTCATTTAGGCATTCATTCAGCCGTTCCAGATGCTCTGTTTCGTCGTGGTAGTTGAGCACAGGGTTGTTAAGGAAGGTTTCCTTCTGGCCACCCTTATGTAGATCTCTCATTTGATTACTATGACATGCGTGTAGCACACTGTTCGTTTCAGCATATGCCATTTTTTCCACTTCTGGCTCAACACTCTCGTTTCGCTTAGGTACTCTAGGAGAAAGGCCAATGGACCCTCCCCCATTGGAATCCTTCCCTGATAACTGCTCAAAAAGGGCAGATACATTTTTCTCCATTTTCCTTTGCACACTTTTTATAGAGTATAAAGTCCGTATGTCGAAAATGGCTTCATTCCCCTTCGTCCAGGCGGTTATGTTTTCTTCTACATTTTTTACCATGCGTCTAATTTGGTCATCCATTTGGTTGGTCATTTTGTCGGCCAGTTGATCAGGCGGGATCTTCCCCCCTGTGGGGTCATCACGGAGCTCAGAGTTCACTCCATAAATGTAACTCAACTTGTCCAGATGTTTCAACATTAGCCTTAAATTGCAAAAGCTGTTTTTACTGTTCTGTTCTAGGAGTAGTAATTTTTTTTTCAGCCCCTTCATTAGCTCGTAAGTGTCACAGTGCCTGGGGTAGTCACTCTGAGAAGCCACAACCTCGTTAGTGAGATTGCTCATTTGCGTTATGTGCCCATCGAAGGAATGGACCACCACCCCTGATCCTTTTCCCTTCACATGATCGGTGGTGTCTTCATTATCATTATCCTGTGGTTTGAAAACTTTTTTGTCTTCCGAATTATGAACGAGGTGCTTCCCAAGAGAGGTCTTCAATATGCTCATTTTGGGTACTTTTCCCCCCGCTGATGCTGCCCATTTATGGGGTGAAAAATCTCCTGCAGATGATAAACCAGAACGATTTTTTATCCCTCCTAGTGTTGTTAACAATAACCTGCATAATTTAATCAACTCTATAAGGTATGTTTTCATAATCACCTGCTCAAATTTAGTGACTTCCTCATTCTTGGAGAGGCTCAACACACTGTAGCGAACCCGCCCCAATAATTCATGCATTAAAATTGAAGCCCTCTTAAGGCATACAGCAGGCCCATCACTCCTCTTTGCCTTTTCGACTAAATTGATCAAACAGAGTATAAGTAACTTAACCTGTATGACATCCCCATTTGGACATCTCCCTATGGCATAGTTGAGTAGATTCTTCAATTTGTGAGAATAAAATGTTAAGCTGCTTAGCATATACATTACTTCATTTTCGAATGTCCCATTTTGATGGAAGAAGGAGCGCTGCTTCAACAAGTTCGAGTGAAGCAGAAACAGGTTTTTGTCCTTTTGACACGATTGCCTATACTTGCACGTATCCATCAGTTCTGTCTTCTCCGCATCTGTATTGAGAATCGCTTTTTCGAAAAAGGTATCATCACTCCTGCTTCTTACCCCGCTTGTGCTTGTCACCATTTCGCAAAAAAGACCATCATCCCGAGGTTTGTCAATTGGGGGATTACTTGTTAATTGGTCTACTCTTTGTCCTTCCCTGTGTATGCAAAAACTGTTTGTGTCCTCTTTTAGTATTTCACCTGATTGTACGTCTCCACTTTCGCCTCCAAGAAAGTTAGCAACCTTCCTGAGAACTGCAAATGTCAATCTCTCTTCGTTGTCGTCCAAGGTGGTGTATTCGCCTCCACATATGCACGTCACTTCTTCTGCGCTTATCTCACCAGTAGAGAAGAAATTGCAATCGCCATTGTGACCATTGAAACTTTTTTTGGTACTTCTTTCCCCCTTTTTTTCTAGTCCATCATTTACGTTCGTGACATCCACCCTGGTGGCGCCCCCTTTCTCGCGGGCTTCCAAATTGGTACCATTTTCTGGGTTACTACTACCCAGGTTTTCCTTTCCCCTTGTAGCCATATCCCTGTTCCCTTGTTCTTCCTCTTCCGCTTGCACTTCCTCCATACCTATTCCATGCACACCATCTGTACGGTCAGAATAGTCCGTGATTTTTAAAAACTCCAAACTGTGGTTGTCAACAAGGAATGATCTGTAGGAGGAGTTACTCACATCATCACTCAGGCAAAAATAGTACGCGCCACTCTCAACACTTTTGGTGGCCATTTTAGAAGCAGGAAAAACGTTTGAATCTTTTCCCGGTACCATGCATACCTCATCTGAATTAACTTCGCAATTCACTTCGCCATTTAGCATAGACGCCTGTTCAACAACATCCATTTGCATATGATCTTGGGTTATCAATTTTGTAGCTTCATCCAGCTCTATACTATTTTTCGCTACTTCTTGGACATTTTTTTCACTTTTCACTTCTTTTCCCTTTTTTACTTTTTTCCTAATTGTGTGTGATTTTCTCTTGGCAAACTTTGTCTGACTCAGAATCGGGAGCTCAATTTCTCTTTGCTTATTTTTCCCGTTCTTGTCCTGCAGCTTGGAATAAATCAGTTGAGCCAAGTGCTCATTAGCCCCTTTTCGCATATCTGATGAAACCTTTTTGTCTCTCTTCACAATTGCAAATTTTAATGAAGCACAATCCTTAGCATTTTTCGAGCCCAACGTATTCCTTTTTTTATTTCTCCTATGTGCATAGCTCTTTTTTTCTTTACTCATTGGGATTTTCTTTCTCGTGGAGGTCGCTTTCATTTTTTTTCTTTTACTAACACGAAGTTTGTTCCCTTTCAATGGCTTTTTCTTCAAAAAGACATTTTTAGTTTTTTTCTTTCTTCTTCCTTTTAGACCAATTTTTAGTCTCCTCTTCATATTTACAATTTTTTTTTTCTTTCCAACTGTTTGACTATAATTGTCGAAGAGCTTTGGTTGTACTTTTGTTCCTTCTGTGGTAAAATAAATCATAGAAGAACTTTCTTGCTTCTTGCATACTTTTGCTATTACTTCTCCATCTGTACAGGTGCTCCAATTGTTGTCATTATTACTGTTGTACTCTTTATGCCTTGTAAGTTGCTTATCCACCACGGATGGTGACGCTGCATCTTGTTCTTCAATTTGAGAGCTGCGAAATGATCCTGAATGCTTCGCTAAGTATTCAGATTTAGAAACACCCTTTAACATATCACCAATCTGGATCGTTGTTTTCATTTTTTTCAGTGTTAACTCATCTCTTGCACCATTATGCGCTGTTAGGTTATCATAGACATAGATGCGCTCATCGTCGGGGTGATATATGCTACTCGTATTGTCCACCCGTTGTAGATGGTCCTCCTTACGTGTGTAGTTAAACGGTTTATTTTCCGTTAGAGAAGTATTAAGACTGCTTCGCGTGGTACTTGGTTCTCGTGTTGTGGTGCCTTCTGGCGTTTCTCCCTGTGGGCGACATTCCTCAGCATAAACGTAAAGGTCGTTTTGCACTTTGTTCTTCTCATCAGAGTTTACACTTGGATTGTATGTCCTATTTGTTGGCGTCTCGCTTGAAGTATAAACTACGCTCCGACACAAACGGCCATTTGTTTGCAACACACGTGATGTTCTTTGTCCCAGGTAGGCATAGCTAGTTATGTCATTTTTAACATCAAGCAGTTTACTATCATCTTTGCTCGTTCCTTCACCCATTCCTGCTAATGTAGCAGCACTTGTTCGATCTGCATGATTGATATTTACGCACTCATCAATGCTTCCTTTGCATAAAAAAACGCCGCAAGCGTGTTCACCCTTTCGTACACATACGGATTCGTTAGCAGTTGCATGGTTATACCCTTCTCCGCTATCGAGGGGTAGCAGCTGTTGGCTAATAATGAAGGAATCAACATCGCGTTCATTGCAGCGGTAGCATTTTGTTATACTATTGAAAATTCCGTATGGACTGCAATGCTCGGAGGCATAGCAATACTTGTCCTTGCCACTCTCCATCGTTTTCCGTTGGAGGTTTACAACACCATCAGTTCTGGTACTCATCTCTGGAATGTCGTCGCTTCGCCTCTAACGGCATTCGTGATGGTTGCTATGTTAACTGCTCTTTTTGCAGAAGCTTTTAATTTTTTTTTAATTTGGTGCAATTTTTATCTTATTAACATTCTGTTGTGTATCTCGCCAAATTTCCCTCAAAAGGACCTCATGTTACACCCCTTTAGAGGAATAATGCTAAAGAGATTATCAGGTTGGCAGTGCGTCAAAAATACACATGTAAATTTTTATTTATTTATTTCACTATACATGGAAAAATTAATTAGGTGCAAAAGAAAAACAAGTACATTATGTTCAAAAAGACAAGCCAAAAGGGAAAATCTGTTCACATTTTGGAATTATTTCAATTTTGTATGAACAGTGCAGGTAAAATGGGCATTTTTTTTTTTTAAATGGAATAAAAAAAACAACCAAATTAGACGGTTGTAAAGTTATAATGGCTAGTTTAGCAAGTTTTTTTTTTTTCTCAAATGAATAAGCGAATGGCTAGCAGAACTACATTGATCAATTTTATGCCTTATAAGTGATGAAAAGGGAGTACAACTGTTTTGCCACATTAAGTACATTTTATTTTAAAAAAATGTTTTACAAATTGAGGTAATTGTAAAAAGTTGGTATTTTTCACAAGTTAATTAGAAGAGGGTGGACGCATCGGAAGAGTAAGCAATTGTGTGCACACCGCACGGATGGGAGAAAAAAAAAAAATATATGACTAAACTGTTGTACAGCAACATTTTCTCGAGCTGTGTTTACCTCTTCAGTGTGTTTCATTCGTGTAGACTTGCGTCCCCGATATATATGTGTCTAATTTTGCAGTCCCACTTGAGCTCACGTTATGGACTAACTTTTTCGCAGAAGGAAGGTGTCTCCAGTTCACCCATCAGAATTGTAGCGTAGGGTGAGGAGGCAACCCGCGTGCCCTTCTCTTCCTTAATTAGGTAAATTCTTTCATTTATTTTATTTATTTGATTCTGTTCTTTTTTCGCGGGAGCCACATAGCCGCTGAACAGCCAAAGGCAGGCTCACGTCCAGGGTGTCAAAGGGCGCAGGATTCGTAATATAAGCATTTCGGAGTTGTCTATAGACTGATAAAACAACCCATCGAACTGCGTTGTACGTTTAACAAAATAAAAAAAAAACATGAGGACCGCAAAAGTGACGTTACTGCCGATGGTAAATATTTGAGAGTATTTGTACAAATCGCTTGTCTGTATATTATTATCATAAAAATCTTCTACTTCAGACGGAGGGTTCTGCAAGCATCCTTCTAATTTCAGCTCTTTTGCCTTCTGCAGTATTTGCTCATTATTTCGTAAGTTTTTATACAGTGTGCAAATGTTGATATTGTTGAACGTGCATTTTACATAATTTTTATCTGCCAAATCTGGAACTAAGGCAAAGTAGTTATGATTTTTTAGGAAATCCAAATCGTTGCATTTGCGAATGTAGCTGGTAGTGTTCCCATTGGAACTAGTGTCTATCATATCGACGGTGCATGCGGCTGTCCTACCTTCAAACAACCTGCAGTTGTTGACTACATGTATGGCAAGGTTGTTTAAGCGCCTCTTACACCATAAGTTGGGGGTGAAATATAAAGTAACTAAATTAAATATATTTATGGCGAACCAAAATATGATTAAAATCGCTAAGGCCCAAGGAAACCATTTCACAGTACAGCCTATCCTTTCGATCCATTTGCCTAAAGACATAAAATCGTTAATTGTAAAATTTGACAGGATGGAACAAATCCTCGATAGAAAAAATGCGAAAATACTTATAAAGCTAATTAAAATTAGGAAGATTAATAAATCTGTAAGAATAAAATTTATATGTTCATATTCGCAGGAATAGTTGACGAAAAAACTGAATGACTTTATGAGTTGCTGGAATATTAACGTGAGGGCTATGCTGAAAGCAGTTAAGAGTGCCAGGCAGTTGTAGTAGAAACTGATTCTCCAGCTGTGTCTCCTGTAATTCCAGTTTAGGTAAAACTCTTTGATAATGCGGCTTATGCTCCTTTTCTTGCCTTTACCCTCGTCCATTTTTTTTTTTTCTTTTTTTTCTTCAGCTTAATGTAGTACAAAGCGTGAGCAACAACGAAAAAAAAAAAAGCTACTTTTTCCTGTTAAAATTCATTTTTCTCTGTTTCGCGCGCAACTCCCGTCTGTAACAGTTTGAACAAAGTTGTCATTCGTATGTGTGTATACTTTTGCCCCTTGTGGACATTAGCATCTTTTGCTGTTCTGAATATCCCCCAAAATGGCATTTCTCAGGGAGGGAAAAAAATCTGCTGTGATTTTTACTTTTTCGCCATTTTATGAATCTGTACGGGCATACTTTGCAATCACCTCTGTTCGCATTTTTTTTTGTTTTTTTTTCCCCATTTGGATTAAACATCGTGAGCAGTACTCCGAATAGCGAATAACATTACGATCACTCGGTCCGTGTATAACACATGCACGCACACAAATGAGGCAGGAAGTAAAATATATGTGTAGCATACACATGCAAAGAGGGTGGTGAGCTGGAACAGAATAATCCTACGGACAACTTGCGCGCAACAAATAGATTCAACCGTCACAATATACTCACGTGAAAGGGAGCAAACGAATATTCGCGTATTTCCAGACTGACAGATTAGTGCATTCTCGTGCATAGCTATGGTGATAGTATTTCGCGAGCGCGCCACGTTTTGTTTATTTAGACGGTACTCCAAAGGGTAATGCGGGAAGGTTGTCCACACTGATCCGTGAACATGATCCAATTCTGAAAGTTGGAATTTTTGCTCACGAAAAAAGGGGGTGCACGAATGGAAATTATCACAGACGTGTTGCAAATTTTCTGCTCAGCATGTTGACTGTGCGGGAAGAACTGCGAAATGGACTGCATTGGGAATAAATACCCTCATTAAGGTGAAGGGATCTGATCATGTCATTAGTCGAAATAGGTATATCAGGAAAAAGGCCCCATCAGTGGTCCGCAGTTGCGTAGTATATGGTACTGTCTCGCAGTGTCTGCCATAGAGGAGGGACCGGTAGAGCATTCATCCCAGCTAGGCTCAGTTAAGAGTATCTTTTTTGGGGGAAACATACCGTGGGGGCAAGTCATATGGACGAGAACAATAAAGACAGAGGCGGGTTTCCTTTCCCTTGCGGAATTCTTCCTATAAGACGGTTGACATTTGGAGGACTGCACAATTGCCACCATTCCATTGTACCACTCATGTATTCACACCTTGTCATCTCCATACATCCAGGAAGCGCGTAAACTTGAAAAAAAAGTTGAAGCGTTCTTCATTCACCACGAAAGAGGAATCGATGGGCGTGCTCACCCTGACAACTACGAAAAGGGCAATGAGGATCATTGTGGTGATAAACCAAAAAAATATTACAGACACCGAAAATAAGTAAATGTCACTTTTCATGGTGGGTTCTTCAAGGAAATGTTCTTCCTTAAAATCGGGGGTGTTTCCAGAGCAGTTCGGGAAGGAACTCCATGAGGTGTTCTTATTTTTAATAAAGTCAACAAAAAATTCGCACAGCTTCTTATCCTTCAATGTGCATGCTTGGTTTGGAGCTGATCGCGAAAGGAAGAGAAAATTTTGCACCTTCAAAATGTTGTAGTCGTTGCAGCTGTCCTTGGTCCGTAGGTTCAGCAGTGCTTTGTCGATTTCGCATCCTTGCGGGGAAGGGGGAAGGGGGAAGCATGGAGGTGATCTGACTTAGGTGCGCTCCAACCGGTGCGAAGCACGCCGCGTATACACACACATATTGTCTGTACATATGCATGTGCAAATGCAGACACGCGGAATTGCCGTAGCTGTGGCCACCCCGCAGAGCGTACCTGTGGCCCGATTCTTCACCAAGAAGCAGTTGCGCACCGCGTCCATCCCGTACGCATTGTATTTGGAAGTGCACCACCTTTGTGGCCAAAAACTTATTATCATCATATTTACAAAAAGGAAGCAGATCCAGCAAATGTATACGAAGGACAAAATCCATGACATATATTTAATTATGAACCCTAGGAGGGCGTAAAAAATGCCTGAGTTAAAAAACTCCCTATTCGTAAAATTGGAGTAAATATATGTGAGGCGCGAAAAAAGGAAATTCAAGAATACCATCAATGCTAAAAATATGAGAATCACCATGTAGATTCTCTTCACAGATTGGATCGTAGAGGAGGGACAATAATGGTTGCTGTATGAATCCCACGAAATGAAAAGTCTAACTATTAACGTGTACAAAATACCCAATGATACACAAATGTAAAAAATGGTGAAGTATAAGCTGTACCTCCAAACGAACTTTTTCCTCTTCCAGTGCGATTTGGCGTACTTGTTCTCAATCAGGGTGTTCATTCTTTCCAGCAGCAACATTTCTTCTCTAACAAAATGGCTATGTCCGATGTGTGCCTTTTATACTGTACCGTACAGGCAAAGTGCTAATGTGTCAGGGGCTTCCTTACACTGCAACGCTCTTTAAATGGGTCAAAAGGGGGGGGAAAAAATGGCGCATCTTTTTTCTACAACTAGAGCAGTCGGGCGAAATAAAAAAAAAAAAAAAGTATAACTCATCCACTCGTTTATGTAATTATGCAAACCGGGTGAAGGGACGAATTAGAAAGAAAAATATGTGAAGCGAGCTCAACCAACGCTACACACACAGCGTATCACAGCGCACATAGTTGAATTTTCCGGAGCGACATCATAGTGTGCGCCCAAGCACTGCCCAATTTGGCCAAACACAGCTGTGAACATGATGCGAGTTTTTTCTTTCGCGTCCTATTACATTAATTCCCTTTTACATTTCACATTAATGCTGTAGTGAGAAATTGCTCTAATTTTGGCGAAATGCCTGCGTTGGGGGAGGGCACCTTGAAGGACAATTTTTTTTTTTTTTTTCCTTTCCCTGAACGTTTCGCCGTTTATCCCGGAAAATGGCACAACATTTGGACATATGCTCAACGGGTTTGGCGGGGGGGGGAAAAAAAAAGCGATGTAGCATCACGGAAAACAGGCCAATAAAAGGACAGAATAGCAAAGCTACTTTTCACTTTGAGCGTTGATCGCCGTGAGAACAGCGGGCAGATGTAGGGGGAAGGGGGTATTATACGGGCGACTCATATGCACAATTGCAGTCCCCCTGAAATGCCTTAATTCGAGTTGCATTTCCCTATCCGGTGCACGCAGGTAAATTCGAAGCGTTGCATAATGGCTCTCCCTCCCTACACATGATTACCACCTTTTCTCGAATGACCGTGTGTATGGCATGAGGCACCTTACATGGGCGCGATGGAATCACCAAAAATGACAAAAGTAGATGTAACTTGATTTTAACAAACGGAAGAGGTAACAGCCCCCTTTTCCCTTCCTCTTCACCAGCAAATGATAGTGCACATTTATCAATCCCTCCTCCTACTCTTGTTAAAAAATATTTACATCACCACAGTAATTAGGAGTAAAGCAGTTGAAGCACATAAAATGAGGAGGAACATCATGACCAGAAAGAACTCTTGCGTTAAAACTGAAGGTGTAGTAGTAATGGGAGGAAAAAATGAAACCCGCAAGAAAGGCCTTACCCATTTATTCGTACATACCATCAATGGGGACAAAAAAAGGGTACTTAAGAAAGTCAAAAAAGAATGTAGAAGAGGGGGAATCAAGCGGGAGGGGATGATGGTTTGCGTCCATCCTCCAAACGGAAGCGACACAAAGAGTATGAAGGTGCAGAATGTATCCAGTGGAACTCCATACTTTGTAATAAAAAACTTCCAACTCAAGTGGAAAAAAATTAATGTGAGCAAAAATGAGCTACAACTAAAATATTGCTTCTTGATTGGACAGGAATTTTGTTTCAGCGAAGTGTGTAGGGATACCTACATCGGGTTGGTGAATAAAAAAATTTACCTCTTTAAGGAGACGGACGAGGGGATCTTCTACCAGTTCGTTTATGATCGGAGCGGTGCGTCCACTGCTACACTTAGCGGTACATGCACTAACGGAAAGGAAAAAAAGGAGCGACAAAGTAACAACCCAGACAGTGCACACACGAACGATCAACACGACCAAGATGTAAGCGACTTTTTCAATCTACAATTTCCTTTAAATAAACACATAGAGATGTGGAAAAGAAAAGACAAAAGGATGAAAGAAATTACAAATAAAATTAGGGGGTTGAGAATATTAAAGGCTAACTCCGTGGAATCATTTTTCTCCTTTCTTTGTTCTACTAATAATAACATTCCCAGGATAACGCTCATGATAGACTGCCTCAGGAGGCGCTACGGAAGCTTCCTCGCCACAGTCATTTTCTGCGGCCAGGATGTGCTGGTGAAGGTTAGGGAGGACGGGGACGCAGCAGGGGTTGCCTCTATTAGGAGTCAACAGGACGTTGGCGTGATGAAGACGGATCAACGGCGCGTCCGCCTCAAGCGCGATGAGACACAATCAGTGCGAGTTAAAGGGGAGCCCCTCCAAAATGGGGACCCAGCGGAGGGGGAACGATCATCCATTTCCCCACTGAAGAAGGAACCGCAAATGCGCGTTCGCGTGAAGGAGGAGTACCCACAAAATGGGGAAGAAGAGGCGGAACAAAATAGACACGTTGAAGACGCCGAGAGAGGGAAGAACAGAATCTTCTACGAGAACCTAAAAACGGTCATCAAGGAGGAAAGGCAGATGAAGATTTTTCCCTTTTATGAATTCCCAAGTATAAAAATAATATCCAAGTTGAAGGAGGAAGATTTAAGGAACTTAGGTTTCGGCTATAGAAGTAGCTACGTTATTGAAAGTGCGAAAATGTTAGTGGAAAGAGGAAGTGAAGAATGGATTGAGGATCTTAAAAAGGAGAAAAAGACAAAAAATTGCATTGACCAATTAATACTCTTCCCAGGTATAGGACTCAAAGTAGCCAATTGCATTTGCCTCTTCGGTTTAAATAAATTTGACTGTATTCCCATAGACACACACATATATGACATCATTTACAAGTACTACCAAAACATTGTGGAGTCTGAGTGCGCGCCGATTTCGCGTGGCACTGCGGTTGGGGTGGATAAGGTGGTGAATGGGGTGAATGGGGCGAGCAGGGCGAATGCCGCTGGAGCAACTCCGATAAAAGGTAAGAAGAAGGCGAAGACAACCACTAGACAGGACACGCCCACTTGTGGCGAACACGTGCTCAAACGGGAAGGTGATAAAGGGACAAAACCCAATTCGAAAACAAATCCTTCCAAGACGCAGAAGAAGGCCCTGACAACTTCTCTCTACATCAGGCTGTACACAAGACTGAAGGACTTACTGGGGCCAAATTGCGGGTGGGCACAAACCATCCTTTTCGTGTCCGAGTTGAAAAAGTTCAGCCACCTGTTTGAGTAGGCAGACATACTTTGATACATGCATGTTCAAGTGGCTTCTTATCTCCCCTTAACCGAGGCCTATGTTTTGTGTTAACCATGGATGTGACTTGTGAAAAATTCGCGTCCCTCTCGTCATGCTCTTACTTCCCTACTTGATCTTTCCGGTTAAGCATCCCTATGTGTATGTCTCCCTTATTTTTGTTTTATTTTATTTTTTTTTTTTTTTTGGAGTGGACAGTGCCACTTTTGCGAACATGCGAATTCTCCACAGACGCTTTTAAACGGCTTAACATGGCTTACTTGCTGCTCCTCTGCCATGGTGAACAAAACTGCTCAGTTGGTACGGGTAATGTCTGAGCCAAATTGCGTTCCCCCCCAGTGTTTAGCATTACAGCATGGGAAAGAAAAAAAATAGGTTAATGGACAAATGGACAGTGAACAAAAGTATGGGTAAGGACCCCACCCAGCCTGAGGGATACAACACCGTGCACAATTTAACGCCTTCCAACTTGGTATGCAAACTTGTATTCATGGCTAATTTTCGAGGGGTGGTGCCGCCCACTGAGGATGAAGCTATGTAAAGCTATTAGCGGTAAACTGCCCGCTGTTGCCAAAGCATGCGTGTAGGAACGTGCCGTCCCTGCCTGGGCAACTGCGGTGTGACAAATCGCGAATACAATGCAACAAAATGTTCAAACGGAAAAGTTCCGTCTGACAACCCAGGGCGGAGACCATTTTCACGCTTTTTTTTTTTTTTTTTTCTCTCTTTTTTTTTCCCCAAATAAGCCATTTTTAAGCGTCACTCTGTGGTGGAAGAAGAGCTTTTTAAATTCGTCACTTCGAAGGATAAGTGTAAAAATGTGTTCCCTCACTTGGAGATGCACAATACGTATTGCACGGGGGGGTATATGCGCAACTTTGGAAATCATCGCATGTTTGTAATTTTCCTCAAAAAAAAAAAAAAAAAAAAAAAAAAAATTCGGAAAAGCTTCCTAAACAGACCGTGCATAATTGCTGGAGGGAAGAGACTTCAAGCGAATTTACAAAAATGTGACAAAGGAAGTCCACAAGGAAATATTAAGTGTGTGTATTACATGACAAAGGAAGAGACCATTTCCCCTAGGCGCTTCATCTCACAATTATTTGTGTTTTTATTTTTATTTTAATCCTTTCCATGGAAGCGCAAGTTTTTTTTTAGCTAGTTTGTGTTGACTGTTCCGTTTTGAAAGGAACAGAAACAAAAGACGTTTGCGAACATATGTGGGTGCACACGTGGGAACAGTCATAGTATGTTGCGTAATTACATCGGATGACCCAACCAGATGAAGGCGCACAAGGTGAAAAAGGTGGGGGAGGGAGGAAAGGCGAAGGGCAACATCGGAGAAGGGGGGGGGTCCAGCTTGGTGAATCTAAAAATAAAGAACGAAAATATCCACGTAAAAAATATTGTGCGGACCATACACTATGTGTATAACAATAGGTATGACAGTGAGACGGGGTTCTCCTACATAAAAGACATTCTTAAAAATATAATTAAGGGTAATGTGTACGACGTGGAGCACAAGAGGTACGTGAACGAGTACTGCATATATGAGCTGTGCGCCAGGATAGTACTAAACATGGTGAGGAGCAATACTAAGGATGAGAACTTTAACAAAATGATGGAGTTCCTGTTTGACATTTTGTACTACTGCGATGTGCTGCTCAGTGAAAAGGCCAGTCGCAGAGGGGGGAGAAGAACCCCAGCAGGCGCTACTGGCGGTGTTAGCGGCGGTGGAGGCAGCGCCGGGAAGGACGCAACCCAGGAGTATGAACTCATTGACAAATTCTGGAACAGACTTCTAGACAATATATTCATAAAGGACAGGAAGCAGAGAATAAATTTGTGTAGAGTTATAAAAGCGTTGGTCAAGAAAGCCTGCGCTTTACAGATTGATGTGTCAAATAAGTTATGCAAAAAGCATGTGAATATTTTTTTATCCCTTCTTAATGATAAGGACCATAATATCCGGATTCTGTCTCTGAGCATTTTAGAACCTTTTCAGGACTTCAACACAACAGCTAGCTACCTGCGCTGTCTTGATGATTCTCACAACGCAGTTAGAATACACGCGATTCAAAATATATCAATCTACACAGATGACACAAACGGGGGGATCAACAATAAGAATAATTATGACCACTTGATAATCCTCAAAAATTTTCTTATAAGAATAAATGATACCAATACAAATGTTAGAATAAGTGTGTATGAAAAGTTAAAAAATTATTATTTTTTTATCCCATCGGATATGAAATTTGAGTTCCTCTTATGTGGACTGAACGACAAGGATAGCTCTGTGAGGCAAAGTTGTTACAGCATGATTATCCACTGGGTCCAACACTTCAATGACAAAATCGAAAATCTCCTCCTCCACTTAATAAATAGCGATATTGATAACGACCTAATTGTGGAGCAAATATGCAAAATTCACCTGAACACTATTAGGAATGGCGTAATCCGCAGTGGCAGCATTGAATTCGATGATATGAAGCAGAGACCATCAACCGTTCTTTCATCTCTAGTAGAACGACAAAGTAGTAAAAGTACAAACGAACTGAACAGCGCAGACAACCTACCTAAGTCAAACAATAATGAAAGTACTTCCAGCCACAGTGATAGAAGTAGCCCTTATGGAGAAGCCTGGTATACCTACTGCATAAACAACCTGTTCCTCTTAAACGCAGCGGAGCTGTACATGCTTCGAGTGTACGTTCAGCACTTTTGTGATGAACAAGAGAAGGAAAAAATCGACGCACTTAAAGTGATCAATGCCGTGTACTACTACATGCACCTGAGCCGCTTCAATGAAAAGGTCTACTACAACAGGAAAAATTATATTAACTGTATAGAAAATAATGAGAGTAATCAGGCAGATAATCTCCACCTCTTCTGTACCTGTGGGAAGGGCAAGACGGATATAAAGGTGCTGGAGGAGGAAAGGAAAAGGAAATTCATGGAGAGTTCCATTTTCGATGAAGACTTTTGTGATAAGTGCATGTACTACCGGGCTGTGTGTAACAACCAAGATGGGGTGAATAGTGACGGCGGTGCAAATTTGGCCAATCGGGAAGAAAAGGAAGAGGAGAATAGTCCCGCAGAGCACGTCCTCATCAACGAAGATAACATTAACGAAAATTACAATTACATTTGTAACATGAAAAATCTTCTGTTGATTTGTAAATACCTAGACATCATTGAAACGTACCAGGTGGATAAAATTCTCAAGTGTTGTTCCACCGTCCTGTTACGTGGTCCCCTGCGAGAAGTCATCATCAAATGTATGCTCAACAACACGGGGGTCAATTACTACAAATTGCAGAAGGGACATATCACGTGTGCCTACTGGCTGAGCAGCAGTTATATATACGCCTGTCTGGAGCTACTCCGACAGATGGTCTACATAAAAAATAAAAATTGCGACGCGAATGAGGTAGAAATTAGTCTGACCAATCAGATACTGGGTATCATCTCGGAAATTAAGGAACCGTTTGAAAACACCGAGAGTGAGGACCCCTTTGCCGTAGACACGGTCAATTTTGCTGAGGGCGAGGATGATGAGCAAAATGGGCCAACGCAAAGGCAAGCGCGCGTGGAGGGTTCCCCTAAACAGGAAGCGAAAGGGCAGTCGGCGAAGGGGCAGGCGGAGAAGAATCCCCTGGCGGCCCTCTTCAACAACATCCTGAATGTGGAAAATGACACCATCTTTGACATCATTAGGAAGAAGAAACTGAGCACATTGTCGATCGAGCACCTGCTGATCCTCTGCAGGAAGATGCAACACAAGCTGGATGTCACCGAGGCGAAGATAAAAGATTTGACCGAGATGGATCGGGAACGATCTTCTGAAGAAGTAAAGTCCTCTAATACAAATGACCAGAAGGAGGGAAGCAACCATGCAGTCTTCGCATTCCATGATCAGATCAGACTACACACACAAATATTTCTAAAGCAAATAACCATGTTGAGCTTGCTGCGCCTGGAACTGAAAAGGAGGTGGTTGAGAATTCTCTTCATATTAGAATGTTTCTTATGTAAGAGTAAATCACACTGTTCCTTCGATTCAGCTCTGCGTGAATTTCCAAACGAGCTGTTACTACCTGCATTGAATTTCTGTTGCTCGATAATGCCAGAGTGGGATGACAAAGAAATAGAAGATCAGTTCTACGACATAATTGTGTCCAAGTGTTTGGGCAATTGGTGCATGTATATAAGTAACGATGATGAATTGAAGAAACAAATTTATGCTTACAAGACTGCTATAGTGGACACATGTGAAGTATTGAACAGCTGCCTCCTCAGCATTGAAAGCATTCATGCGAAAATATGCCCCAATGTGTACCAGAAGGCCAATATTGATTTGATGACGCAGGCTGAAAGGGGGCTTAATAAGAGCGGAGCTGCTGGGAATGCCGCCGGGAATGCTGCGGCGAATGCCGGCCAGGGCGCTCCCCAGGAAGATCATGATGATGATCAGGATGAGGATGCGAATAACCAACTCATCTTCTATGAATATAATCCCCCAAATGAGTCCCTTTTAAACTACTTTGCCACCAATCAAAATGCGTGGTATGAATATAAGGAGCTGTTAGAAAAGCTAGAAATAAATTCTCTGCGGTGCGAAATATACATTTGCGTGTTGGGTGACTTGCTCATGACACACCCGAATTTAAACAATGACAAATTGATCATCGATGCGATTGAAAATATTTGGAGCTACCTAAGTGGCACTGTCAACACGAGCAAATATATTCAGTCGATTTGTCTTCGAGTCTTCTGCAAATTATTATTAACTGAATTTCTAGGGAATCATATTTATAGAATGTCCAATGAGGAAATGCACAAAATGGTGAGAAGGTCTTCTAACAAATTGAGAGCTCTGTTTGAAATGTGTTTCCTCATCTCTCCTTCGACCTACAATTGTGTTCAGGACTTCAAAAAGATTAGTACATTTAACATAACGAATATAAATGCACATGACAAATTGTTTCTCTTTTCTGTGTTCTCCATGTACCCCTCCATGAGTGAGACAAATCTCTTAGTCTTCCATTTTACCTTCGAAGAAGTGTTACTAAAAACATGCGACGGAGTCTTGAAGCATAAATTGAGGACCATCAACTATACGAACATTCTGACCTTTATTATTTTCACCATTTTACATAAGGCGAACATACACTTCCTCGTTGCGCACTTCCCCAAGTACATAAAATCGATCCTACTTGTTATCATTGAGAAGGGCGTCGCCTTAACTAGCCGTTCCAACATTATCGAGCTGGTCTACAAAATTATTCAGATTTACCTCTTTCACGATTTGGGTGACGTCCGGGGGCGGGGCATCTCCGCAGCTTCCGCCTCGGCCTCTGTCCATGCTCCCACTGGCGATGGGACAAATGCCAAAGAGGGCGGGTTCCACGAACATAGGGAAGTGAAGAAAAGAGGTAGGAAAAGGAAAAATGCAGCACCCCCTGAAGAAACAAATGAGAAAAAAGAAGCAGACGATAGAGGAGAAGCCAATCTAAAGACACATAACAATTTCGAAATGGAAATGGAACAAGAAGAAAGAAGAGCAGCACAGGGTGAAAAGTCACAAAACGGAGAACATAATAAAAATTTCACCATTTTCTTCAAAAGTGCCCTCACCGATGTTAATACCACCATTAAAGATTTAAAGACATTCTATGTCCTCATCAATTTTTGTATGCATTCTAGTGATATTATAAAATCGAGAAATGAAATTAAATTATGTGAAGCATTGAAGGAATGTGTGCAGAAAAAGATAGACGAGGTCAGGACCTACTTTGTACAAAGGAACCTTGTGGTTGGTGCTCCTACCGGGGTAGAACCCCCCATGGGAAATACAACAAATACTCTTCTAGATGTAGCCAAAATGGATGCCCTCAAGGAAGAAACCATTTACGAAGAAATCATCAATGAGTATGCTAATTATATAGCTACCTTGCGTCACAGAAAATTGTCCTACCCAGTCGTCCCCAGGGGGGTAGACGGCTGCAATGAAGAGGAAATGTCCACTGAAGAAATCATGAAACACATTAACCACAGCGCGAAGGGGGAGGGTGTGATGGAATGCATCTCTGATCATGTGCGCACTGTCGATGATGCTTGTTATGACTTACCAAATGGAAGCTACGCATGGCTCTTCGAGCGGGCAACCGACTTGGCCGTTAAGGTGAAATACCCGCCCGGTGAGCCTGGCATAGAGCATAAAGAAACACAGGACGAATTCATTGATGCAAATGACGAGGCTTCATGTTCCATTCAAAACAGCTTCGAGACTATCGATGATGTTAAGACGTTTAGTTCCCCTGTTGATGAAGTTCAGGATGTCAACACTGTGCCCAAGCTTGCCGCGGCCCGCAGCGACGAAACGATTTTGCAGGACGGGCGAGATGGCCTCACATGCGTAAGCTACAACCGGCAGGACACAGTAGTGGAGGAAGAAGCGGTGGGGGAAGAAGCGGTGGGGGAAGAAGCGGTGGGGGAAGAAGCGGTGGGGGAAGAAGCGGTGGAGAAGGCAGCAGTGGAAGAGGGAGCCGCAGAAGGAACTCCCCGTAGGGAAGACCCCCTCAACGACAGCAGCATAAAGCGAGATAAACGCAACTCCCCGCGCAAACTAACCGATCTGAACATAAGCTCCAGCGAAGAAAGCCCCGAGGACGAGGACCACCCCTCAAGCATGAACGACTTCGAAAGTGTGAGGGATGCCTCCGATTTTGAAAACAACAGCAGCGGAAGCAGCACGCACAGCAACGACTCCACCGCTATGGCGTTTAAGCGGTTAAATAAGTTGAAGCGCACCAGCTACACGAACGTCGTTTCGAAGTGATCACCGTGATCATAGCGGTTAGGGGGGCGCGGGGGGCACCTTTATCCTTTCTCCCCTCTCCCGCTTGCCCTCACCAACCATCCGTGCCTGCGTCCATTTGTTAACTGGCCAAAATAGCAACTCGTCAATCGCGAAGTGGCTAAGTTGTCACCGCGCACATTAACGTCTTAACTCTTTAATCGTTTCCTCCTCGTTATACATTTTTCACTTTGCACGTTGCACGTTTCCCTTTTGTCGCCCCCAGACAGACTGCGTTTATAGGGGGCAGGAAGGGGAAGGAAATTTTTGCTGCAAAAAAGAAGCACCCCTGCACGGAATGAAATGGCGCAAAGGAATGGGGAAGCGCACCCATTTGAGTCAACCATGTTGGGGATTCAAATTGTAAACAGGTTTAAAATAATCACAAAAAAAAAAAAAGGAAAAAATAATACAAAACAAAGGTGTATGAAGTGGCTACGTGGAAGCGTATGACACACTGTGCAACCCTGCTCACGAGTCACCCGCGTCAACCGATTTCATAATTTGGTCAACGACCTGCACAATGGTGGGGTCGTTAATGTAATTAGAGAGATAAGCAATTTTGTCCTTGGAGGTAGTACATTGTTTGAAAACGGAACGAACATAATTATTTTTAAGAAGCATTCTCAAGGTAATGTCTTCCTTTAGCTTTACTTTTTGTTCCTCTGTTAACAGGTCCTCTTCAGACTCTTCATCATCCTCCGTGGGGTTATCACCCCTCTCTTCTTGTTCTTCCTCTTCTACTTGGCTCTTTCCATGCTGCTCCTTTTCGCTGTGTAAATTGCTAAGTTCATTTAATCTGTTGACCTTGTTCCTTTGTTCCTCCAAACAGGCCTTTCTGTCGTGCCTCTGAAAGCAGGGGACAGAGCAGTAGCCTTCACTGCAACACACAAATTTGTATTTCGCTACTCCATTTTGGAGGCATACGATGCAGGTGTTTTGTTCTTTCTGTTTCTTCTCGTTGTGGGGGGCATCCGTGTGGTGTTTCCACTTCCTCCGGGCCTCCCTTCGATTGAAATAATTATTCTTTTTGCGCGCATGGGGATTTCCATCACCACCTGTTCCTTTCTCCACGGGCGGGTCACATTGACTGATGTTATTTTTGTCTCTTCTCATTTTATCGTCCTCATTTGTGGACTCCAAATTGGGGCATATGGGGGAATTCCCCTCCTTCACGTTCGAGTCGATTTCCTCCATCGGTTTTGTCGTCCATCCCAACAGGGTTGCGCTTTGAGGCGTTTCAACGCGGGGGGACGCGATTTATGTAACGACCAAAATGAAACACGACATGAATTTTTCTGTTGAGCGTTTCATCATGGACAGGTAAAAATGTTTGCCAGGTTCCGCACTTCCGTCCTTCTTCACGGATGGCCTTACTTTTATATTTTTTTTTTTTACCCAGCGCTTCCTTTGTAAAAAAAAAAAAAAAAAAATCTCCCAACCTGTTGCCTCTTCTAGCAAAATGAAAAACACGGCAGCACCCCTACAACAGCCTCACCACAACTACCTCTCACAGAAAACGCAGGCGCGTTCCGAAGGCTTCAAAATTTAGGACAACCAAAAAAAATTAATTTAAAAAAGTGGTCCATATTTCATAAGAAAATAAATGCAATCGAAAAAGAGAAGAGAGAAAAAAAAAAAAAAAAAGATTACTCCGCTTATTTTTTACGCTTTCCTGTTGCATTATATATATATTATTCCTTTTTTGCTGCAAACGGGGATTTTTTTTTTTTTTGTTTAAAACGAAATGAACTGGTGCCTAATTCCACGCCACCCAGCAGAACAACAACACCTGTATGGACATGCAGCCCCAAAGCATAAAGCTGTTTACTGCTCCTTATGGTTATATATGCTAATAAAACATTGTGGTGTTTTTTTTTAATTTTTTTCTTTTTCTCTCCTTTCATCATTTAAGCGATTGGGCATGTGATGAAAGCGAAAATGTTAAATTGGAAAAAAAAAAAAAAAAAAAAAAACACAGCATTAACATAATGTAACGAAGTGTAACAAAATTAAGTAATGCTCACTGTTACAGGTTGCCAAACGGGTGGTGGACACGAGGATAGGCTATGCATAGGTAGCCAAATAATACATACGTATCGTATGTACATACGGGAGAGGGGCGCATAAGAGATGATGTGTCCTCTCCGCGCATCGCACCCTCAGTGGGTCGGCATCGTCTGATTTTGCGGGTACACGACATATACAGTGCGCCAGCGCTACACCCGTTGGTGAGGATTTATTTGTGCAAATTTTATTTATGCGTCTTCTCACGCTCACGCGAATGCACATCAATTGTGTTGTCCTTCCTACAGAGGCAATCCAGTGTATAAGGCCCCATCCCGCCGTATGCGCCTTTTACCTTTTTGTAAACACGTCCACGGCTTTTGTAGGATGTACCGATTTGTAGGAGGGCCCACTGGCCTCCCTGTTAAGAAACGACTAACGGGATTAAATGCGTATTACACCCCCATCAATTAGTCGACGCTCTTGTTGAATAAACTTGCAACCATGGGGATGGTCTTGATAACGAAGACGATCCCGGCCAGCACTCGGATTTTATACTTGAGCTCGTTCAAGAGGATATCCTTGGGGGATTCCTCGTTCTCGTTCAGCAGAAACATTTTTGCAAACGGGGGCGGGGCGGCGAATATAAAAGCGGCGGCGCACAGGAGTGTAGCGGTTCCACGGGGGGGAAGCAATCACGCTGCTTTTTTTTCTTCGTCCTTACGGCGTCGTTCCTTGTTCCTCTTTTGCTTCCTTCCGCGGTACCCTTGACAATCCGCTTGGCACGTGAGAACTCGTTTGGCGAAAAGCCTTTTTTTCCTCGTTACGTTTATGTTTTTTTTTTTTTTAATCCCTGGAGTTGTTCGTTTTGGTAAAACGCGTTCGCGCAGCTACGGGTCATACACAAATTTAAGGGACACATTGGATGCTCTTTTGCCTACCGTTTTTATATTAACTCATTTTCCACAGTACGGGGAGAAGTAGTGTGACATCTCTTTTTTTTTTTTTTTTTTTTTTTTTTAACACGAAGGTACTTAAATTTTTTCGAGCTGTAGGGGGGGATGTGATTTAAGGAAAAGTGTAGTCGCCCTGTGTTACGCATATTCACAGCCGGTCAGCTTCCGAGATAAAATTTCCCCCCCACAAATAAACAACTTGTGCACCTCTACACGACATACCAAAGTAACACTTTTACATGTGAAGTCTGCATTGCATTTATATATATTTTTTATAATTAACACAAGTGTTTTTTTTTTTTTTTTTTTTTTCCCCCAATTGTTGAAAGGCAAAAGAGAAAATTTCCCTCTTCTTTTTATTTTGCTCTTTTTTTTTTAATTTTTAATAGAGTAATTTATAATGGAATGACAACTTTAAAATTGTCTCAAGTGGGAGATGGCATTTGGGGGGTTATGTGCGTCCACCACAGTAACCTCACCTTATGCGCAGGCATGTACACTTTTTTAGCTACACGGAAGGTGCTCAATGGACTACATTGAGGATGCATATTTAATGTTGCAACACGGGACGACTGTTGCAGTGTGAACCAAGTGGCTGTGAGGATGCGACGCGTGCCGGGAGAGACACAAATGAGAAACTGAAAACACGCAGAGAACAGAGTGTCTGCTGTCCCCCACGACAAAAGGCATTTCTAAGTCAACCCCATTTTGCATAAAGCGTGTATTGGTGAGGTAGCTGCCCCCTTTTATTTTTTATACCCACGGGACGAAAAAGTTACACGCGTGTCGTATGTCCTCCTCGTTTGGGTAAGTAGGCTCTTAACACACATGTGAAGAGAGTGATTTATTTTCAAAGATATGTTAGCGCATGTCGTGTACGCATCACGCCTGTACGTAAGGGGTGTGGTGCTACTTTCGAACAGGTCACCATTATGTATAAACGTGTTTCTAGAGATAGGCAAACATATGTCTGCCATCCTATACGCGGTGCATTATCCAATTATATGGTACAGCACATGCCGTCTAAGGCTACTCTTTTTTACAGTGTTATTTTTTTTGTCTTTTTCTTTTTAAAAGGTACATCCAATTTAGTGTAGTGGCACTCGCGAGGGTAAAGCCAAATACGCAGCATATAATCGGTGCGTATGTATATATATATATGACTGCTCTCCGTGGAATTATACTGAAATGGTCCTATTTTGACCGCGCCGCTTTGGCATATTATCCCGTCAGATCCCCCCTTTCTCATTGGCGTGAGAGCATCATCCGGGGGGAAGCATAGGCTAGCTTTGCATTTGCAACATTTCCGTTCTTTTTTTATGCGTTCTTTGAAAAAAAAAATGTTGCAAATTTTGGGATTTCATATTTTTTGCTATACTATTTGTGTAATTAGATGGCCCCTTTAAGTGGAAGCGAAAAAAGCATAAAATGATAAACAGAAAGAACCAAAAAAAAAAAAAAAAAAAAAAAAAAAAAAAAAAAAAAAAAAAAAGGACAAGACGGGGAAATGGCAAACCTTCCGGGGACCATAAACGCCGAAGAGCAAGGCGAGAAAAAAGAAAAACAAAAAAAGAAAACCCACTAAGCAGCACAGTAGTAAAAAGCTACGAAAACCTGAGACCAAAACAAACCAGCAACAGGAGAAAGAAAAGTTCACGAAATATTCATATTCGCAATATTTAAGAATGTTGCTATGTCTATGTAGAAGTAACGAATATTCTATTTATATGTTTTTATTTGTAAATTCTTTTAAGTAGCGCTTTTCCTCAAAATATTCTTTTTAACCGACAGTTTTTTTTTGTTTCTTTACCACTGTAAAAAAAAATGCCTTGGCTTAGAAAAGCAGCACGAGAAATTTATTTATCATGTATATATATATATGTAAAAACATATGTCACGCATTTTACGGCACCTTTTTCCGGTAACTTTTGCGGTACAGTTTCTTAACGGTGAAAGTTGCGTAAATTTTTGCGGCAAAATTGGGCGTAAAAATTCTTGCTACTTTTTACTTGTGCTTTTATAATGTCACATATTTATAAAATTCCCCAAATCTTGCTTGTGCTTTTTTTTTTTTTTTTTTTTTTTTGGTTTTTTTTGAGAATAATATAAAGCAGAAATTGAACAACCTGAATTTATTTTTTTTAACAAGTGATTTTATTTTTGTTTCATCTTATTCGTTTTCTTTGTTCTTTTTTGTTCTTTTCGTTCTTTTCTTTGCTCTTTTTGATTTTCTTACTGTTCTTGCTTTTTTAACCTACAAATACATATAATTAATTATTAAGATTATATGTTAGTGAAGTTATACGGCCTTTATTAATTTTATATAATTGTTACAGTTTTAACTTAAATGAAACAAATGTTTTTTTTTTTTTTCAAATTCCTACGAAAAAAAAAAATTCATTTGGCGAGGATTGATGATTGATTGAGAAAATAAAAAAAAAAAAACGTAACTTTTGTAACCTTCAACATTTGTTGCGTATGAGCTTTTGTCATTAAAAAGTTTGCAAATAAAACTTCTCATTTAACCTTTTTGGTAACGTTGTTACGAACGGGTTGTGGATTAGTTTTTTGTTTAAGAATTGTTCGACCCTTTTGCCTTATTTGACAAAACATTTTTTCTTCTACCCTTCGTTACTTTTTCATTTGTTCTGTCGTTCGTTCTTTCGTTCGTTTATTCGTTACTTTTTCATTTGTTCTGTCGTTCGTTCTTTCGTTCGTTTATTCGTTCATTTGTTCATTTGTTCATTCGTGTTCTGGCTTTTTTTTTTTTTTTTTTTT